CGCTTCCTACCTTAAAGAGAAGAGAAGAGAAGAGAAGAGGGTCCTGCCCGGCGCAGGACACCCAGGATCTGCGCAGCTTAAGCGACCCTGATGCAGGCTTTCCAAAACTAGGAGCCGGAAATGAAGTCTACCGCTCCTTTTTGTGTGTGTGTTTTTTTCCAAGCTGCAGCCTTAATTAAAGCCCTTTTGGCCGGGGGAAAAAAAAGGAAGAAATAAGGGCTATTTCCCTCTTTCTTTAACAGGGACCACTCTCTCGGACCTCCACCTTCCCCTTGGATGAAGACAGACCTGGATTTCAGCTGGCTGTTCTCATGGGACATTGGTGATAAAAGAAAAACTTCAGAGATTTAGATGAAGTGACACCCACTGGCAGCTGGTACAGCCAGCGGCAATGTATGAATGAGGCCCGTTTTAAACATTTTTTGTGTAATCGCCAGATTACAGCCAGATTTCATCCTATTCCAATAAGTGCTTTTGGAATTAATGCTCTTGCTCAGTCAGGTTTTCATAAACATGTCTAAATGTGATCCAGATCAATGATTCCAAATGATGTGAAATGTTTGTGCCCCGTGGCTCACGGCTAATCAAAAAGGCAAACTATAAGTGCTTTAAAGGGCCCAAAAGCAATGTTCTAGCAGACCAGAAGAGATAAAAAGAGATCCTGAAATATCAGAATGGAACAAAATATTCTAATACAGATTTGCATTTGTCCAAAGCAGAACTTGTCTGCAAGCAGGAAGAGAGGGAGTTCAATCTCCTCAATGACTTGCTCATCCAGAATTCTTTGGCCAGAGTTTAATAAAGACTGTTATTCCTCAGTGAAGTCAACAGTAACCTCCTGAAACATTATCTGAGCCGGATAGGAAACAAATGTATTTCCTCTTTGCAGATCACAGAAGAATTAGCAAAAGATTAAAGTGAGGGGGCCAGGTATGAGTCTCAGGATTTACAATGTCATGGTTTGTACAACATGCTAAATTAAGCTAAATGGGGTTGGGTAGTGTTGGAGAACTCAGAAACTATTTTAGCATGTTGAGTAAACCACGTTATCACCTCTAAGCCATAATATCTTTGGGCATTGCAAGTTATGTGAGGAGAGGAAATGAAGAAGAAAAGCTTATGGCCAGTGATCAGTATGTAATAAAACTCATAGGAAGAGTACTGATGCTTTTGAACTTTGGTGTTGGATAAGACTCCTGAGAATACTGTGGACAGCCAAGAAAACAAACCGATGGATCATCAAACAGATCAACCCAGAGTTCTCACTGGAGGCACAAATTACTTTGGACCCATGAGAAGACCCCGCTCCCTGGAAAAGGCTCTGATGCTGGGAAAGGTGGAAGTAAAGAGAAGAGGATGACCAGCGGCAAGGTGGGGGGGCTCAGTTACAGTGGCCATGGGGCGCCATCGGAAGAGCTGAAGCCTGGTTAGGGACGGATCGCCTTGCAGAAAAGTCTTCAAGATGTTACCTAGCCGGGTAATGAAACGTTTGCAAGAAAAGAACCAAGCTCAGAGAACCCCAAGGACTCCACAGTTCAACCCTGAGCTACACATATTCGGTTCATTTTATTGCAATAAA